GAAAAAAAAAAAAAAAAAAAAAAAAAAAAAAAAAAAAAAGGAGAAGATTTAGTATGGATATGAGTTTCAGAGAAGGTTCTAGACTGACAAAAAGAAAAATCCCCCAGAATGCTGCCTTCATTGGCAATGGCTTAGAATTATTCCCTCCTAACTTTATATTTTAAGAACAATGATTGAGATCCACTTTGGGAGAAAAAAAGGCATAAGAATTTTCAACAATCAAGAAAAAGGGAAGAAAGGCCTCCTTTTGGACACACAGTAGGGAAATTAGAAAGAATTTTGGGTTAATTACGGTTCTTAAAGACTCTCATAATAACTACCTTCATTAAGATGTTTCATGGAGAGGGCCAGCCTGTGGCTCACCTGGGAGAGTGTGGTGCTGATAACACCAGGCCACAGGTTCGGATCCCTATATAGGGATGGCCGGTTTGCTCACTTGGGAGAGCGTGGTGCTGACAACACCAAATCAAGGGTTAAGATCCCCTTACTGGTCATCTTTAAAAAAAAAAAAAAAAAGATGTTTCATGGAGTATTACTATCACTGGTATTTATTCTTATAATGGAAAAAAGCAGGATTGCTCTATGCTCAGTAACAGTAAAAGGGCCTTGCTGACCCCTGCTGGCTGATTCTGTAATTGTATAATCTGCACAAATTGGAAAGGATCTAACAAAAGAGCTACAAATTCTTTCCTAACCCTGAGAAGTTAAGGGAATGTCTGATCCTGGGGCCGCCCTGATCTTTATAAGGAGGTGGAAGAAGGGGAGGGCTGTCCAATCACATTTCAATTTTTTTTCCTTCATTTACAGAAATGAAATGTGATTCGTCCCTATACCCTCTCCACTCTAGATTTCTCCCCCACCTCCTAAAAAAATGGGCAAAGATCCGAGAATCCTAAGGGCCCCCTACCTGTAACTCATGAGTCCAGGTTGGCAGTCAGGCCGAAAATCACTATCAAAGGACTATGACATCTTAAAGATTTCACACCTGGGCAACTGGAATTTCGAAGGCTCAGCTCTTTTTCTCTGGCATGGAACAGACAGGGAAAAGAAAAAACAACCACAACAGGGCCACTGGCAGACTCACCATTTCATCAGGAACATAAGCTCTCCACTGGAATCTGTAGCTCCAATAATCCGCTCTGGCTCCAAACCCCGGGCAAAGCCCCGTGGCTTTTCTGACTGTAAAAAACAGATGGGTGAAACAACTTTATCTATATGGGACTGGAGTTACCCCTCTGTTTCTGATTAAAATAATCATAAACTCTTGCCAATATTTCACCAATACCTTGGGTCCAAGTAATAGGCCTTTTAGAATCCTTCAGAGTGAGTATTCCACCAAGATCTGAAGTGCTTGAGGTTTTCCCGTATGTGAAAAGGGGAATACATCCCAAGCAAAATAAATATTTACAACTGTCTCTTCACTCTCAAAAGATAACTTACTTTAAGGTGTTGAATTAAGTTAAAATAGCCACCTCAAGGGCCGGCCCGGTGGTGCACTGGAGAGTGTGCTGCTTGGGAGCGCGGTGGCGCTCCCGCCGAGGGTTCGGATCCCATGTGGAGACCGGTTGCCGCTCACTGGCTGAGCGCAGTGCAGGCATAACACCGAGGGTTGCGATCCCGTTGCCGGTCCCCGGTACGGGCGCGACACCGAGGGTTGCGATCCCATTACCGGTCAGTAAAAAAGACAAAAAGGAAAAAAAAAATAGCCACCTCAAACCTTTAATGATTAAAACATAGCAAACTATTCACAAGAATGAATTCACTTGCCTTTATATCTGTCCCCAGTAAGTTCATGCTTATTGTTCCTGCACCATGAATAAAAAGTAGATCATGTGGCTTCACAAGAGTAAGCCCCCAAGCACTTTGTAAGCAGTAGCCTATCTAAGATTTCAGAAGGATTGAGAGTTGGTAGTTGCTGAAATCCAAGAGGCAGAACAAAACTGCTTAAATTATCTGGTTTTCAGCTTCTTTGAGAGTAGAACAAATTCTGTGCTAGTAAAATTTCTTACTTCTAGCCTTACCTCTTCTTTCTTCTTCTTTGGTTTGCTCTCCTCTCCCTTATCTTCAGAATCAGAATCAGCTTTGCGCTTGCCTCCCTCTGATTTATCCGTCTCATGTGCTGTTTTCTGTGATTGTAGAAACTCAGCAATGAGATCAGGGCAATCCAGGTTCTCTTCTGGCTCCCATGTGTTGTCTTCACTGAAACCAGAGGAGACAGCAAATCATTTTCCACTTACGCATACTCAGAATAAGGATAAGCACAGGAGGGCAAGAGCTGATGTACTTGGAAAAGAGGAGTTAATGATAATCAGTAGTTAGATTTTTGTTCAAGACCAAGAACTTGGGAAAGGTGAAATTTCTTGGGATGCCTCCTTCAAAGAAAAATTACTTTGGGCCGACCTGTTAGCTCAGTGGGTTAGAGTGCAGCCTTGTTACAACAAGGTCAAGGGTTTGGTTCCCTGTACCAGCCAGCTGCCAAAACAAAAACAAAAAGCTCAAAGGAAAATTACTTTTCTTTGCAAACTTGGATTGGTCTATAGTCACACAGAAAACTGCTCCTCAGAAATCACTATCTTGCATTATAGCTCTTTGTGCATATAGGTCATATTCCTAATTAGACTACAAGCCATGAAGGCCAGGACTGAGTCATGTGACTCAGTATCCATCAAAGCACTGAGGCATATCACTAGACTCCTGATAAAACTACTGGTGACTAAATTTACCCATGTCAATGAAACTTACTCTGAGAAACCCTTCCACTTCAGGAGGTACTCCACTTTGCCCTTTACCACTCGGCGGTCAAGAACTTTTTCCACCACATATTCTTCTTCCTCCTCTTCCAGCACTTCCTCCACTTTCTTCTTGTTTTGTTTTTTCCCCATAGTGCCCGCCAGCTTTCTGGTGTAAAGGGTGACGCTGCTAAAATGATAAAGGAATAGAAAGGGCATTAGGGCACACTCTTATTGGTTAGATGAATATCTGTATGGTGAGAAAAACAAGGACATCACTGATGATTTTAATACTGCATGAAGCTTATATAAGTTATGCCTATTCATCTTCAATACGTGATAATTTTCTGGTATGTTCAACTAGAAAGTTCATAAAACTGCCCCAACTAATCTCACAGCAAAACTTCTTTATTCTTGCATATCCATTTAAGACTTTTATATCCATTCTCTCTAATTTAAAGGGCTCCCAAAACCCCTTTAAATTAGCCAAAGATTACCAAGCATGGTACCTAAAATATTATATATATATATATATATATATTTTTTTTTTTATTAAATTAGCCAAAGATTACCAAGCATGGTACCTAAAATATTATATATATATATATATATATTTATTTTATTTTTTTTATTTCCTTTTTGTCTTTTTTCGTGTCCGGCAACGGGATCGCAAACCTCGGTGCTGCGCCCGCACCTCGCTCAGCCAGTGAGCGGGAACCGGTCTGTATGTGGGATCCGAACCCTCGGCGGGAGCGCCACCGTGCTTCCAAGCGGCGCACTGTAGCAGTGCACCACCGGGCCAGCGCTAAAATATTATATTAAATTGAAACAAAAGCAATCTTCCTGAAAGTAATGTTCATACATCTAAGTTACATACATATAATGCTTTGACCCATACTTTCTCCTATTCTCTATGCTTTCCTTTTTGTTATAGCACGGGACCTAAATTTTTACTTGGGAAACAGCTTGTCCTATTAAACATCTAATTTAATTTTTCTTTTTGTTTATACATATATATATAATAATCCATTCTTCTGCATTGTAAAAACACTTTCTTTTGAAAAGTTCCCTTTTCTTTATGCAATGATTCCTGAATGCCTCCATAAATTCACAATTTAAAAGTTTCTTTTTAACTTGTTATTCTACTTTTCCAGTGTTAAAATTCTAGTCCCCATAAATCTGTTTTCTTTAGCTCTTCATCCAACTGACTTCTACTAGGACTAAAATCTTATGATTACCAATTTGTGTCAGTAGATGGCGCCATGAGATATCAATAAAACAAAACTGGCCAAACTCTAAAAGGATGAATTGCGTTGCCCAGAATGAGATGCAAAGAATTGGAGGAGGACAGATAATCCAAAACAAAGAAGATTACTACTACTCTGCTTCAGTTTAAGACAATACCAATTTGGGGTTAAACTGGTTTCCCAGCATTCTTGGGAAAAAGCAAATAAATAGAAACTCTTCTAAAAACTTTAAAACTGGCAAGTGTAGATGGAATGCATTTCAGAAAGAGTCCATCCGTAGACTGTGAAACATAACAAACCTTTCATAAATGTCAGGATCATCATTATAAATCAGTTATATCATCTACAGATGTTTAAGTTGGTACTTCAGAGATATTCCCATGTCTCCATCTATGAACAATGCTTACTTAACAAACATTTGTTTGGCTACTAGAAAATTCTAGACACTGTGCTTAATGTTAGAGATTCAAGAGAATAACATATGGCCCCTGCCTTCCTGAAGCTTAAAGTCTGGTAAAAATAATTTAGACATCTCTTCCATTAAAGGTATTGTGAACTCTTGCAGAGTGGTACAAAGAATGTTTTCTGAGGTGCTTTTACTATGGCCTTACCGGTCATTTTTAAAAAAAAAAAAAAAAAAAAAGAGGAAAAGTCATAGAATGGAAGAACATAATTGTCAGGTTAAGAAAGCCCCCAAAAGGGGAAATCTGAGCTAACTGGCCAGCCTAACTTTCATCTTTATTCACTTATTAACGTATTGTCCTAAGAGCAACTCAAATAAGAAGCGAAGATGTAGAACTGATTCTTGCCTTTCACTGGCTCATCCCAGCATCTACTTCCAGAGACCGGATTCTTTATACCTGAGATTCTCAGCCAGGCTTCCCTAAGTGAGTTTTGCCCTTGTTTACAGCTAGTTCTTAAGGGTCCTGAGTAAGCTGTTTGTCAAAATCAGTAGAGAAGTAGATTAACCCACTCTTCCTAAAGGATCTAGCACCTTCTGAGTAGCCATGGATCCCCTTAAATATTACTGATGGGACAATTATTCTCATAGTTTCCAACTAACTGGATTACTTCAAAAGAAAACTCTTCTCCCTCCAAACACCAGCAGGGATATCTGGAAGGAAGACTCTGTATTGGAATTGCTTGGTAGGGAAATTTTAAGGTAACCCAGATCAGTGTAGCAGCACAGTGAAATAAATGCCTTTAGCTAATGCTGTTTGCCACTCCCCTTAATCATCCTGGCAACCAAATTATTTATGACATCAAAGTGCCATAATTATTACTCAACAGTCAAAATATGATAGAACATCGCAAGATATACGCAGAGTCAACAGTTTCAGATTAACTCTGAAATCTTAATCTGGGACAATACTAAATTTTGACAATACTCTATGCTTTTTTTTACTGCCATCACCTTTGATACTAGGCAATTTTACTAGACGTTTTTCCTTCTTGCAAATCACTTATCAAGTAAGTATCTTTATAATGTTGTTTAGAAATTGTGTGCTGCTGTTAGGTAATAGTTTCACTGTAGGATGATTGGTCAAGGACCTAGCTATTTTGTTGGGGATCTTCCAAATGTCAGTATATATATATCCACAGCTCCTTTCTATTAGGCCAATTTCTCCAGAAAGGAATCTACTTATTTCCTGTCAGGGAGAAGAAATTGAGGCAGGGGATGTCTTACAGGCAAGTTCAGGAAGCAGTCTGGGAGGATTCATTAGTTAGTACATTGATTACTGTTTTCAGTATGGCCCCCTACCCTTAGCTCTATATGATGGCCCCAAGTCCAGAGTCCCTTTGGTTCAACCTTCAGTTCCAAGTACACCTCTAATACTCTACTGGGGCAGGAAAGGGGTAGTCTTTACTGTGTGGAATGGAGAAAGGGACCTGTAGGTTCTACCTTCCCTTCCAGAATATAAACCAATTCTCGCTTTCTAAATCCCACCTGCAACCCCAAGGTACCTGGTGGCCTCTCTGGAATCCTGTTGCACAAACTAGCTTGCATCTTCTTGCCTCTTCCTAATTTCAATCCTGCTTAATTTTCAGCTTTTTATGGTCAGGAACTACTTTTCCATCTATTTTCTGATGTCTCTGCTTTCCCCTCTCCTGTTTTTATCACATGCTTCCCCCTCCCCCACCCTGCCACCCTGTTTTTTTGGGGCAGCTGGCTGGTACAGGGATTGAACCTTGGGCCTTGGTGTTATCAGCACCATCCTCTAACCAACTGAACTAACCAGCTAGCCCTCTTGTCCCCTTTAAATCCCTTTACCATTAGTTGTGAGGACTTTTGGAAGGGAGTAGAACCCATGTGTTCAACCAGCCACGTTTAACTGGAAGTTTCATGTAAATATCTAATATTAGTGAGTGCTTACTATGTGCCACGTACTATTCCAAGCACTTTGCTCATTATTTATTTATTTATTTATTTATTTTTTGTGGCCGGTAAGGGGATCGCAACCCTTGGTGTGGTGTCACCCGCACTGCGCTCAGCCAGTGAGCACACCGGCCATTCCTATATAGGATCCGAACCTGCGGCGGGAGCGTCGCTGCGCTGTACTCTCCCGAGCGTGCCACGGGGCCGGCCCATTTATTATTTAACATACTCTCAAGAGTTACTAGTCAGAGCTAGTAACTGTGGAGACAGAATACAAACCTGGGAATCTGGCTCTATGATATGTACTCTTAACCTCCATGGGATCCTCAATTGTCTTACTTGGGCAACGCTTCTTAAAATAGGGCTGGCCAGTTAGTCCAGGGTTTGATCTCTACCAGCCAGCCACACACATACAAATAAATAAATAATTTTTTTTAAAAAGGATTTTACAGTGTTGCAGTAGAAAAAAATCTAGTTAAGTTGCCATAATTTCTACCTAAATATTTACTGAGTCTTCCACACTTTAAGATTCCTAGAAAAATTATATTTTACATTTGCATTGTACCTTACAGTTTACAAAGTGCTACCATGTTATCTCACTTGATCCTCAAAACCATCCTGTGAGATAAACCGGTTAGCTGTTATCTCTGTCTCACAGATAACAGAACAGATTTAGATGAAATAAATCACCGGGGTCACACAATTAACAAAGAGCACAGCACTACAGTAAGAACATTTCATAAGGATAGGGTAATGGCCCTGCTGCATAGACAAAACTAAGACCTCATTACAAACCTGCAGGAAGACCTCTCTCCTCCAGCCTACACAAGGAAAGGACAGAGGTCTCTTGAGATGGATCCTCCCTACAGTTTGTCATCAATAAATAAGGAAGTAACTGATAATGACTTTCTTTCAGAAAAGACCTTGGAAGGTATGGTTGTTAAAAAACCAATGAGTTTTAATTGTTTCCAAGAATATGAAGGAATGTTAATTAAGTCAGCGGACAGTAACAAAGCTTGGTTTCTAATGCCCCAGCAGTCTTTTGGGTCTTTTAAATTGGCAAGTGCTAGAAGATGCAGAATTTTTGAAGTTAAACATCAAGTAAGTAGGCTAGACAGGTAACTACTGAGAAAAAATGCCTATTTTAAGAGTCCAAAATTTGTTTATAGTGTCCCAATCAGGCCAGGAATAGTGTAAATCTGAAGCGGGAGTAATGAAATTATAATTCTTTTGGGAGAAAAAAAGAGCACTGTTTTGATTCTCCTCAGTCACCCTCTGCCCCTACACACTTAGAAGCTAGAAAATGGAAAGGAGGAACAATGCTACCTGAAGGTAGAAGTCAGTAAAGTATCAGACACAAGATTAGGTCTTCTCTGTTTTGTTTCATTTTTGAATAGTCTGTACTGTGAAAGAGTATGAAAAGGATCTGTGAAGGCCAGTGTGGCCATGGCTCCTGGTTGCTACCACAAACATGAATTATAAAGGGCTACCCCCAGGAACTTCCAGGATACTGATTTCTTGCCAGCTTGAAAAATCAAATCCTAGATATGAGGCCAATATCT